TTGTGCTTATAAATATTTCAGTTTTAGTTTCAATTTATTTTCCTCTTTATCTTCAGGCAAAAGATTTCAGTATGGTTAAGAAAAATATTAAGAGACTGAATTTTTTTTTTTAACCTACATATATATTAACTTTGAGACAAAATCGATTGACTTCTTGCTCTGAAAGACGAGTGCCGTCTTCCCCTTTCTGCTGTCACCTTCCAGTTTTTATTTATTTTAAATAAAGTGTGTGTGCCCAGGTGTATTGTAAGGTTATAGTATCCGTGACTTGTTATGCAATTACAATTATCCTGGTTGCATAGTCTTTGTGTTACGGCATCTTATTCTAAGGTTTATTTTTCTTCATGTTTTTGGAAAGGTTTTCACAAAGGGCGCTGTATTCATTAAGTTCTTCCACGTTTGAGAATGTCTTGTTGCCTTTATATATATTTGAAATGACAGCATGACTTACACTTTTCTCAAAACATCCTATAGACACAATTCCTTTTTTTCTGGCATTCATTGTTGGACAAGAAATAAGGCAAGGTTTTTCCTTCCTTTTGTATGGGTGACTGTGTTATCTGCCTGAAGAATCCTCTCAATTTCAACAAATTAACCATCACAATGTGCCAGTGTTGATCATTCTGTGTTGGATTTTCCTGTTACGGTAGAGCCTTTGCATCTACAGGTTGATTTCTACCTTCAGGAAGTGTTCTATTAAATGTTCTTCAGAACTATTTTTGTTTCTTTTGCTGGGCTTTATTTCAGAAATGCCAATTATCTTTTTGCTGATAGTCTTTGTCCACTCTGTTATCTTCTAATTACTTTAGTCATCTTGATTTTTTTCCATTGCTTTTACTGTGATTATCTCAAAACTTTCTACCATACTAGTAATTCCCTTTTTAGTTATGTCTCTTCTGTTCCTAATTTATTCTGTGTTGCTATAGTTTTGATAAGAGTCCCTGGATAGTACAGTGATGTGCTCAGCTGCTAACCGAAAGGTTGGCTGTTGGAGTCCATTCAGAGGCACTGCAAGGAAGGCCTGGCAATCTACTTCCAAAAAATCAGCAATTGAAAACCTTACAGAGCACAGTTTTTCTATTCTGACACACATGGGGTCATCATGAATTGGAATCAACTCAGTGGAAACTGGTTTTATAGATTTGCTACTTAATTTGTTTCCTAAGTTATCTCTTCTTTTTGGTTATTCATTGAGCTTCTTTTGTAACCTGGCTTATATTCGTTTGAAGTTTTTAAGCATAAGAAGCACCTTTCCCTCCTCTGCTTTTTCTGTTACCTTTTCTTCATTATCATCAAGGACTTGCATTTCTTTTCTTCCCAGCTTCTTTGAGGTCTAGAAGTTGCTTTCTATCTACTTTTTTTCGTACCCTGAAGGATTTGGGGGCAGGGTGAAATTGTTCTGCTGGGACTGAGGAAAAAGTCTGCTGGTGACCTAGGCTGTCATCTCTTCTGAGATCTTTTTAATGTTTTGCTCCAGAGCCCAGTCAGGGTATCTCGCTCCTTTGAGGTTCAGCTGAGTTCACCAATCACAGAGCCTTGAAAATGGAAAGGCCACCAAGGCTCTGCTGAGGTCCTGCAGTGGCGTGAAAGGGCTTCTGTTCCATACAGTTGTTTTTCCTTGGTATAGTGTTTATGTAGTGTATTCACTCTCAGTGTGCTTCCCCATAAATGTGAAAGTAGGCGTAAGGTGAGATCCCTGGTGGTGCAGTGGTTAAAGCACGGGGTTGCTAACGGAAAAGTTGGCAGTTCAAACCCACCAGCCGCTCCGCGGGAGAAAGATGTGGCAGTCTTCTTCCATGGAGACTTACAGCCTTGGAAACCCTATGGGGCAGTTCTACTCTGTCCTTTAGGGTTACTGTGAGTTGGAATCAACTCCACAGCTACAGGTTTGGGTTTTTGTTTGTTTGTTTAGGGCTAAGGTAGGAGCCGATAGTGGCGCCATGGTTAAGCGCTTGGCTGATAAAGGTTGGCGGTTGAGACCCACCAGTGGCTCCACAGGAGAAAAGACCTAGCAATCTGCTCCTGTAAAGATTACGACCTAGAAAACCCTGTGGGGCAGTTCTACTCTATCATATAGGGTCGTCGTGAGACGGCACACAGCGACAACGGGGGAGGTAGTGAAGATCTAAGGTTTTGTTAGCTTATTTTCTTGTCACAGCTTCTGTGCTCTGAGGCCAGGAAAGAAGCTTTGATGTTCCCGAAGTTCCATTCTTTGGTTTCCACATTTTTAAGCTTAAGGCATGAGGATGGCACCTCATTTTGTTTTGGTGGCTGCCAGTAAAATTCTGACTTTCTTTTCAATTGATTTTAGTTCATTGGGTACTAGGATCTGGATTCATCACTTTACCATTTCATGTTACCGTTCATCAGTGTTTTCATAGATTTGTTAAGTTGAGAATTTAAATACTGTATATCAGTAATTAATAATTTAAATTGAACTTCATTTTCAGGAGGAGGAGTTTGCAAACCAAAGCTGATGAGCAAGTCAAACAGCAGGAAATCTAAATCTCCTATCCCTGGGCAAGGCTACTTAGGAACTGAGCGGCCCTCTTCAGTCTCCTCTGTACATTCAGAAGGGGATTACCATCGGCAGACGCCAGGATGGGCCTGGGAAGACAGGCCCTCTTCAACAGGTGAGAAACTTGATTTAACTGGCAGAAGATGAAACTTAAAGCAATTTGTATCAGTAGATCAGAAACTTTGTTTGGAAAGCTGTGTCTCCATTACTGAATCATTAACGGATTTCACTTTCCAACATAGAAAATGAATGCATATAATCTCGAAAATTTTCAGGATGCTAAATCTGATTACCACAAAGGAAAAGCTAAGAAGGAATATCTTACCCCCTACCCTTACTTCTGCAGTATGCTGGTGGCCACCATCTGCTATTTGCACGTCTGTAGTTTCATTTCTTATGAACCATACCTCCACGGGAAGTGCCACTCTCAAGGCAAATTCACCTTTAGCCTTTCATAGAAACATTTTTAGAGAAGGTTCTTAAAGTAACATTAAGAAATTAAAGTCAGAAATGGGAAGAATTTTTTTTTTTTTAAAAGCCATTGTCTCTCTGAAGGCTCACCACTTACACACCAACCAACAAAAATCAACATTGTAGGATATTTGTCAATGTTTTCCATTTTGTGTCTATTTGTAAATGCTTTTGATCATGGTAGTTTCATAAGAGAAGAGACTTGACTTATTTTTTAAATAAAACTGTAAGATATTTGCTATGGGTTTAAGGTTTCAGAGAATTATCTTAAGCCATCCTTTTTTTATAGGGGTTAAATATACATATATATCAATGGGAAAAAAACTGAAATGTGCCCTCCCTTCTAAAGCTTATTTGAATTTTATATATATCATATCACTTTGGTTTATAAAATCTCACACCACACACACACTAGTTGTGCACTAGTTTAAAAACCTCTGGTCTAGACCAAGGATTATTTTGACATCTCTCTAGGGAAAGAATTATTATTATTAGACCATTTATGAGATTGATTACCTGATGAAATGATATGTCATACGTTTTTATTTTCTGCCATCAGAGCAACAGATTTCTTAAGCTGTACAAAGCTTTTGGGGGACAGTGAATCTAAAGGTTGACAGTAGGTAGCTGTGCTATTGTTAGGTTCATGTATCTCACTTCTAAATATTCCCAGTGAGCTTTAGCAGAACATGCTGCCCTTCAACCTGCTGAGACTCCTGAGCATTTGTCTCCCTTGTCCTAAGGATTATACTCTGCATTTCCCTTTAAGAGTAAAGTTGTTCTTGGTGTAAACTATCTTTCAATTAGAGCTTAATACCCCATAGTTCACTACTTAAATTCTCTTTGGAAACACTTAACTACTAAAAACCCAGGGCTTTCGCTTCTCAGCTCAGCAACACTCGCCCCAGGTGCTTAGTGGTCTTCTTCATCCAGTAGACAGTTCTCACCGACTGCTGGCATCGCAGGCTAGAGCCGAAGTGGTGACACCTTGGCCCTTCCACGCTGTACTCCTCTTGTCTTAGTGTCACATCCCCACTTCAGTAGAATAAGCCTGTCCTAATTCTATCCTACAAAAGTTGAACTGGATGAAACCCAGCACCTGTGCTCATGACAGTGAAAATCTACTTTTTCTTTTGTCAGGCTCAACTCAGTTTCCTTACAACCCTCTGACTCTGCGGATGCTCAGCAGCACGCCGCCAACATCAATCGCATGTGCTCCCTCCTCTGTGAACCAAGCAGCTCCTCACCAGCAGAACAGGGTCTGGGAACGAGAACCTGCCCCCCTGCTCTCGGCACAATATGAGACGCTGTCGGACAGTGATGACTGAGCCGTACAGAGAATGAATCGGGGGATACAGGGGAAGGGGTCTGTAGTTTGTGGTGGTTTTAATTACAGGCCAGAAACCTCCTATGACTTATGCCCAGAGACCTTCCGGGAGAGCCAGGGCCACAGATGATGAAGAAATGATGGAATTTTATTTGGAGAGTCATGTGAGGGGGGTGGGGGGAGCTGCCTTTGATACAGGCAATTCAGTGGATTATAATAATAGTGGAGGCCTGAAATGCTGAAGATAAATATGTAGAGTTTTTAAAAAGTGGACAATTCCTGTTCTTACATCTGTTTGTAAAGAAAATCATAATGTCTTTAAATCATTTTTCTGTAAATAGATTACCTTTTTTGCAGTGTTTCCCCTTGCTGTAATATCTGATGTACTTGTGTTCCAATCAGCACATCAACTTTGGGGGTAAATTTTAAAAATCTTTTTGTCTTTTTAATCCTTGCCTTCTAAACAACCTCATACAGCCCAGCTACATAATGTTGGCTGTCACGGGCATTGTACTTTTATCTGATTTTGTTTCCTCTAAATTCAGTTTCCCAGTGATGTTTAAAATCTTGTGAAATGTTTAGATTTCTAACACAGACCCTGGTCATAAAATCTGTACATTAACGTATTAGGGTCAGAGGGTAGGAGAAACAAAATTCTGCCATATTGTAATTTCCAGTGCGGGCTTTTTTTTTTTTTTTTAAATTAGCAACACTGAAAAAATAATGACTGCATGGTATGTTACAGCTCAGTTTTTCAAGTTGTAAAGGCTCACTGGATGCACACCTCAGTATCATGCACATGGGGAATTTAACCAGGCCTCTAAGTACGCCTTTTCTCCTGCATTGGATGCAGCCCAACAGAGCTTTTGTTTTGAAATAAATTTGACTACCCTGTCCATAGCTACAGTAGATTATTTGTGATTTAAGGCTTTTGGTGTCTCAGGTTTCAAAGGGGGGAAAAACAATGTTTTTCTTTAGTCTGATATGTTAATTGGCTGATTTAAAAGATAATGATCTGTGTAGAATTGCCAGATTTAGATTTCAGGTGAACATAAGGTCCTTTTCCCACTTCTACATGCCAGCACTTACAGTTTTATTCCTTGTGGGCAAGAATTTGTTGTTGGATGTTTTCATTTCACTGATTCTCAAGGCGCAAAAAATTTCAAAGACTGAATTTTAAACTAATTTTGGTAGTTGCTTGCTTTTAGGTATTTTTTCATACAACTGAAGCATATCAAATTATCCTTCCCTTAGATACTAATCGTTTTAGAATGCCACTGATGATTGATTGGAAAGGGGAGAAACAGAGGTCTCTCAGGATGATAAAAATTAGCACTTCAGAGAGTTTTAAGTAGACTTAAACTTTTTAACAGATGTTCTCAAGCCGCTATAGAAAGCAGCTCTCGGATTGGCAGCTGACTGAGTGCCTCCGTTACAACTGCTTTACATGCATTATCAAGAACCTCCTGTCAAAACCCTGTACTGGTGATGTTTAATCCCTCCCCTGTGGATAAGTACACAGATGCAGTACTTTGCCCGTATAATTAATTACTAAGTGACAGTGATAAGGCATAAGCTCATGTTTTCCTCAGTTTAAGCCTCTACTCCAGTAACTGTACCACTCTGGTACTTGAGGTCCTCAAAATAAACTTGAGATCAGGCTTGGGAGTCAGAGTCCCTACTACCTGGAAACTTAGCATCACTTTATTATAAATATATGTTCACACATACATATAATTTTAATATAGATGAAAAAACACAGACTGCTCTACCTCTTGAAAGTTTCTGCTGCAATTTTTTTAAGGTACTGATAATTCAGAGTTCACTTCTAAATTATATTGTCAACTGACCAAAAAGAGATTATAATTGTTTTTCTATAACCTTAAGGATCTTAAGGTATTCCAAGTCAGAACAGTTTTTGAGAACACATCAGGTAACAGCCTGACTTGTTGGTTCTGCATTTCTACTTGCGGACCCCTGGGGGAGCTGCTGTTTGTCTCCCCCACCCTTGCCACAGTGCCTGTGTGTCACTTCACCCACCCTCACCTACAGAGAATGGGGAGGTCAAACCCAAGATCATTTCTTAGTGCAAAATAGTGACAGAATACTTACCTGCTTACCACCTCAGGGTGTGAAGGTCACACACAGACTGGGAGTGCCTGGTGACTTGTTAACATCGAGCTGTAAACCAAGGAAGGCGTAATACTCTCTGCAGGCCAAGATTTCAGTGTTCTGAAGCTACATGTTTATGATTGGAAAATGTATGTTTTAATTTTGGTATGCTGAGTGATGCCATTTTAGAAATAATGAGGCCCTGAGAAACTCCAGTGACATAGTACAGTTCAAAAATCTAAACCACATTATTTTTAACATGACAGTTCTGGATTCAGACCACTCAGTAAAAGGGATCAGTTCTCCTTTTGCTTTGCTACCTTGTTTTACAGCGGTGCAAATGAACTGTAATGAGACCACCCAGATGAAAAGACTGTCTTTCTGAAAACTTGGTCGTTTTTCCAGCACCAGAATCATATGCTTCATCACTGTAGAGGATTAAAATTCTTAAATAAAACCTGGAGTGAAAAACCTAACTTCCAGTATCCCAACAAAACAGCTGCAATTGTGATAAAGTAAAAATTCATTCTGTTGCAGAAGGTGAATCATTGACATTAAAAAAAAAAAAAACGGTAAACTTAAGACTGAGCTGCACTAAAACTCAATCTGATTTCTGATATAGCTTACCTCCCTGAGTTAGACGTGATTAAAGGAATTAGCTGGGTAAATAAGTAATATCTACATACGCTTAGAAAGTGAGAAGAAATTTACATCGGCAAAATATAAAATTTTAATTTTAGTCTAATCCCTGAGGATTTGGACCTCAGGGCTTGTAGTACTTTAATTAGATTTTCAATAAGTTATTTTTTGTGAGAAACTCAGGGATTACTGAATACATACAACATTGTTTTACAGTCGCTAGTTTATTCTGAAAGTAAGTCTTCCAGTATGTACACAGGAACCAAAAACAAGTCTATCAGTCTACTCACACCCAACCCCCACCAGCTTACCAGTGTTCTTTAGTGGAACATTCCTAGAAAAACTCATTTCCCCTAAGCAAATGGGCTATTGCAAGACTGCTGGGGTGTATGTATCTTGTACTGATATACTCTGAGGCAGGGTGATAAAGCTATTTCAACACAGCAGTCTGTTCATTAAAGGCCATATGACCACCTACTCCCATGGTTAAGAGAGAATCTTGTTCATTCCCCACTTTACAAATGAGGATATTATTACCACAGATCAAAAAGCCAGGACTGGAACACAGGTCACTGGTTCCTCTATCATACCAGTGGTGCACATCAGAATTACTGGGGTCGTTTGAAGTACCCTTGCAGGGTCCTGCTGTATGCATGCAGCCTGGCACGCATATCTTCAAAGAGCTCCCCACGTGATTCTGCTGTGAGACCTAGTGGGCAAATAAAGTTGAATGCTCAGAGGGGGCTGACAAGCAAGAGGTTAAATCATTCCTTTTTTGCACAGTTGCATGTAACAAGATACACAGAGAAACACAGACCGCTTTTATTTATGATCAAATGGGTGGTGTACTTTCAGGTGCCTGGTCCCCACTCGGAAAGTTCATGACAGATGCTGGTGTCAGACTAAAGACACCACTTTTCCTCCTTTATGCACTAAAATCCCACACTGGGCTTCATGAAATAAAGTAGATTATAAAGAAAAACAACTCACCATAATCCCCCTTTTCCAAGAGAGGTTAGCTCTGGTCTGACAGATATTGATAAAGTAAGAGACAAAAGGGCAGCAAATCAGTGGACCGGTGTTACGGTACAGATGTCAGGCTGAATCACCGCACACCTCCCTCCCCTCGAGGAAAACTGGCCCATCTTCATCTGCAGTGACATTAGACCAGCATGATGGCACCAGGCCACGCATTACAACTGAAAGCATCACCTGACATTTCGTCACCAGAAGTCAAAATCAGGGATGAGAGGTGAAAGGTGATTTTTCTTTAAAAAGAAAGAAAAGTGGGAGTATATACAACTTGTCCTTCACCAAGGAGAAGTTGAGAAAGCTTAAATATCAAGGACAAAGGATTTAAGCCACTGATTTGGGTGCCAATGAGGACTGAATAATAGCTATTCCTCTGGGTTACTGGAAATTATTCTTCCTACAACAAAAATTAACTTCGAGCTTGATAAAATTAAATCAAAGGTCTACTTTTTCTTGACAGCTCAGCCAACTCTTCCCTGATATGTTGTATGGAAACCTCATCTCTTTCCAGCTCTGCTTGCTTCAGTGCTTCCTGGTAGATCTCTTTGGCTTGCGCATATTGTTCTAAAGTAACCCAGGAGAGAAAGGAGAACAAGAAAATCTGTGTTTTCAAAGTGATTCTGAATAGAAAGCCCTAATGACGGTATAGGTCTAACTGATTGTGTGTTTATTCAGTGACAGGCTGGTGCTGCCTCATTTCATCCCCATTTTACAGATAAGGAAACTGGCTCAGAGAGGCTGTAATTTGGCCCAGCTTACAGAGCTCCAACAGAGTGAGTGCTGTGGGATTCTTAGTTAATGCCCTTTCCAGTACACATGGGGCCCTCACTCAATTAGGCAATGACTTCAGTAATTAATGGTGGTATGTTAGTAAAGACTTGTCAGTCTAGGTTTCTAAAAATTATAAGTGAAGTGCTGATGCTCAGAAAAATGTCCATCAAATTTGTATTCCCTATCTTAACATATTCACGAGCACACTGTGAGGTACAAATTAAACTGTAAGTGTGAAAACATTTAGAAATCTGTAAAACACTATGGAAATAAGGAACTATCACTGCAAAGTCTTTCTCTAGCTTGATGTGTTTCAGCAGGCTAGTACAGGGCTACAAAAGTGATGTGAATTGATCACAATGGTATTTCAACCAAACAGCCCTTTTCTGCCCTTCTTCAGCCAGCCTTCTAACTTGGGAATTTCCTCATTGTCCCTTACCCTCCCTAAACACCACTGCATGGTTGTAAATACAGTCAGCATCCTTCCCTAAAGCAAGACAGTCAAGTTTCCACTGCTACCTACCTCTGTGCATCAGAACTGCAGCTAGATTACTGAGCACCATGTGTAGCTCAGGGTGTTTTATCTGTCTTGCCAGATCTGATGCCCTTTGCACATAAATGAAGGCCTCATCAAAGTGGCCCTGTGCATCCAGAGTAGTAGCCAGGTCATTCATCAGCACAATGGTCTAGATACGGAAGAAACACAGCTTTTTCTTTAAAAACACACCTACACAGATTCAACATTAGAGTTTGATAAACTGTGACTATATACTTAAGATTTTATCTTACCTAGCAATCCTCAAAAGGTGAGGAATATCAGCCTTTAACAAACTGTGTGTACTTATTTTTCACACTGTAAGTGGACACTGCTTCAACCCTCAAATTATATAAATCTAGAACAGGGTGAATATTATTTATCCAACTAATTATTAAATTAGAAGCACCAAATGAAAAATAACAAAAAGGAGCTATAATGTCCCATTTAAGGTCCAACAATCTTGAGAAGCCAGCTCCCTATGGCCTCACTGCCTCTGGAGCCATACTGTATTATAATGTAACTCACTGGTGATCCTGGTACTCATCAAGAAGAAATATCTATTTAAGGAAGATTCTCATGAAGAATTTTTAAAATGTTGGTACTAAAAGGGTCTGGCTTCCCTGCCTTCTTCCCCACTGACGCCAGGCTTTCAGTCCCCTGATTCGAGCTAGTCCTTGGTGATCGGAATTCCATGCTTGCCTGTTTATGATTCCACTAAGGGGACTCTGTAATAAAGTCCCAAATCTCCTTCCTGGAGAGAATACATAGCTGAAAATCCCTTTTCTTCTAAAACTACTATTCACCCTGCCTTGGGACACGCTGACTCCAGTTAAAAATTCTGTGTCCTATGTTGGGGGCACTGAGCATTCCTAGACAAAGCAATTCAGTCTTTACCCTCTAAGAATTTGATAAAGGGGAGACACCAATAGATGATCTCAAGTCAGTGTGTTAGTGTTCTGATAGAAGCTTTACATGGTGTGTTCAATGTCAGTGGTTTTTAGTATGTCAGTCCCCCTGCCCACCCCACCCACATTTTAACGTGGGACAAGGAACACAAGAATCTTCATCTACTGACCGTTCTTCATAAGATTCTAATGAGGGGGTCTGCAGACTCCACTCTGAAACCCTGTGCTGTGCACTCTGAAGCCACGGAAGCACATGGTGCCTCATCAGACCTGCATTTTAGAAAGGTTGCTCCGCTGTGTAAACCATGGAAGTGTTCTTGGTAGACCTAGTAACTGATCAGACGTCCTGAATCCTTTTGGAAAACAAGTACATGGGGGGGAGGGGGGTGTTGTCGGGATGCAGAAAATGAACTGGGGACTGAGAAGGAGGATACTGCTAACCATCTGCTCATAATCTTTTCCCAATCTGTGTGGCATTTCATACCTGTAAATTTCGAAACTTCTGCTTTGCTATCCCTCTTCTATGTTTTCCTCCCTTACCTGAGGGTGTCTTTCTCCTTGTATTTCTTCAGAAATCCGCAAAGCTTTCTCATACATCTTTTGTGCCTGTGATGGCTGCTTGGTGAACAGAAGGTAGCGGGCATAGGAGTCTAAGCACATGCCCAGGAGGAGGCGGGTATTGGCTTTCTCTTCCACTGAGGAGGAAATAAGAGTGATGCTGGGATATAACAAGTATAATATAGAAAGCACAGCACGTAACCTACCCTAGTCATTTTTCTTGTTACTAAGACCCACAAAACGTTTTAGCAGTATGTGGCCCACTGAATGTTTCACATCAGTTAGAGGTAACTTATAGATGGATTAACATCCAATTAAATGATGATATTCCAGACTAACAGGACTCGTGGAATTTTTTCTGGCATTTTAAGTAAGACTAAGAGTCCACACATCAATTAAAATGTGGAATTTTTTTTTGAAACTAATAATAATAAGCAGACACAGATGAAAATAAACCCAAAGGTGAATGAGTTAACAACAACATTAAAAAGTCTAGTGCCAACGAAAACGTTTTAAGGTGCAAAAAAAGCAAAGCAATAAGAAACTAGAGAACACACAGAATTCTGAAATGGAAAATCAAACCCAGATATAAAGAACAGTTAATCCATTAAAGATGCAACGATTCAGCACCTCTCGACACATTACAGAATTGACTCTGCAGTGTATGAAAAAGAACAAATTCAAAACACCTAATATCACATACAAAGAATTGGAGAACAGTAACCAATCTAAAGAAGAGCAACCAATATCAACTTGCACAAGTAAAGACAGTACAAATAATATAGAAATAGTAATAAGCTACAAGGAAATTCTGCAAACAACTCACATACAGGGATATAAATAGAGGTTATCTCAGATGATCTTACATAACAAGAACTATCAGACACCCAACTGAAGATGCTCACTTGATTTATTTACCAGCAAAGCTATCATTCATATCTAAACACCTTTCCATATCTTCAAATTTTTAGAAAATTTACAAATGGCATACAGAATTTAAAGAAGATTAAATTACTAAACTATAGTATGACTAAGTACTGAAGAGATAATTTCAAATAAAATAGTTGGCGGATGAGAATGGCTGTTGGAATAATACCAGGGGGTGAAAGGAAAGAAAGGATGAAACTTTTCTTCCTCAAAAAGAATTCTAAAGTTGTCTACTCTGGCTTAGTTATATATAAAAAGGTAAATAATGAAATCTTTTAAAATTTAATTAGTAGATTTTAAAATACTGATTGCCTTACAAGTTTAGTTTCAACGATTTATAACATGAAAATTATTTTTATAAATATAAAATTATATATAAATTTATAGATAAATATAATCAATATAAAAACGTAAAAAAGCAAAACATAAGATGGTACCAACTAATTACCATATGTAAAGATATATTTCTCTATTAAAAAGGAATACTGAAACATTAAATAAAAAATACCTAACCGTGAGCACTCTAAATGGCTAAGCAAACAAAAAAATCAAGAAGCAGCTGTAGTATTAACAGTATTGTGAGATACATGGTAATTATATAATGATAAGAGGCACAGTTAAAAGTGAAAACAGGACAAATCTCTGTGCCCCCTTTAAGTACAAAGAAGATAAGTTATTTGTAACAATGAAAAATTGGAAACAACCTAAATGTACAAAAGTGGGGTTAATGAAATACACTAGAATACCATATAGCTACCAAAATTCATGTTCTCTGAAAATATTTGACAACAAAGAAAAATGTTCACCATTTACCAAAAATACAACAAAATATAATGGGTGATTATTCTAATTCCAGAAACTATATGCTCCAAAAAAATGACTGCTGAATCTTATTAAGATTTGTAGTAATTCTCTTTAAGTTTCTATATTTTAAAAATATGCTCTTTTTACATTTTACAATTAGGAAAAAAATTTTCAATAGTGTAACTTAAAAAGTACAAGAATAACTGACAGAAGCAAGTCTAGTAGAAAATTATTACCTCAATTATCAGTAATGAAAATTAACCAGAGTGGAAGAAAAGGCAATAAAGCTTTCTAAAGAGCATAATTAATGAGGTAAAAAATTGGCAACAATATTTTTTTCAGCGTCAAGCATTATTTTAAAAATACATTTTAAATTTCTAGCACATTCTGACCAAAATAACATGAAAACAGAATATTTTTTGAAAGCCAAAGTTCTCTAAGAATAGGACCAAGCACGAAATAAAAACGTTCCATAACAAAACTTTAAGAAAATAATAAAAAGGTTCCATAACAAAACCTTTAGAACACTGCCAAGAGAAAATTTTACAGCTTTAAACTATATATATAAAGCGTTCCTTTTCTAATAAAAAAATTTTAAATGGTTCTTCAAAAATATTAATAAAAGAAACTGCTATAAGTTAAACAAGAAGAAACTAAGACAGCCTAATAACAACTGTGTAGAAGAAACTGAAGCTGTCATTAAAGCTATGAATGACTTCATTGTACTTGGATCAATAATCAACATCAAATGAAGTATTACACTTGGAAAATCTGCTGCAAAAAACCTCTCTGAAGTTTTCAAAAGTAAAGATGTCACTTTGATGACTAAGGTGCTCCTGAACCAAGCCATGGTCTTTTTCAATTGCCTCATATGCTCTGAAAGGCTGGACAGTGAGAATGGAAGACAGAAGAAGAATTGATGCATTTGAATCGTGGTGCTGGTGAAGAATACCATGGACTGCCAGGAAAATGAACAAATCAGCCTTAGAAGAAATACAACCAGAATGCACCTGAGAAGCGAGGATGGTGAGACTTTTTGGCTCCTTTACTTTGGACACGTCATCAGGAAAGACCAATCGCTAGAAAAGGACATCATGGTTCGTAAAACAGAAGATCCGCAGAAAAGAGGGAAACCTTCAATGAGATGGACTGACATGCTAGCCACAACAGTGGATGAAACATACCAACAATGATGATGAAGATGGTGTAGGGCCGGGCAACGTTTTGTTCTGTAATACATAAGGTTGTCATGAGTCTGAGCCAACTTGTCAGCAGCTAACAACAATAACTGAGAAATAAATTGGGATCATTTATACAGAGCTTCACAAAAATCAGTCCATAAAGCAAACAAGACTCATTACAGAAATTTTCACTCAAAATATTAGCAAACAGAATTCTCACATGTACTAAGGAGAAGACCAAGCAGCACTTATTCCAAGAATACAGTACACTTAACATACCACCACCAGGGCTCCTATTATCAAATTCGGCTTACATATAGACTGAAAAGTCATCTATAAAATAGTGATACAATTATAAGCATCTATAAAAATAGGAATAGAAATACTCCATGAACAAGAAAAAGAGCATCTCTAATTTAGGAAAACTTGGGCACAGGCCCCTAGCTCTCCCACAACCATCACAAACAATTAGGACTGCTTATCTGCAACAAAAAATAAATAAACAAAAGTACATACTTTAAAAAAAAAGCTCAAATGCAAGATAGTTTCCTACCGCAAAAAAAAAAAAAAATATATAGATAGATAGATATAGGAAAGACACAGATATAGGAAATAGTCTTAGACAACTGGTTGTTCATGAGGAAAAACAAAAAAGAAGCTATATCCTATTGTTAGTTGCCATCGAGTCATCGCCAACTCACACGACCTTATGTATAACATAACAAAACATCGACTGGTCCTGTGCCATCTTCATGATCACTGGTATGTTTGAGTCCATTTTTGTGCCTGTATTATATCCCTACCTCACACTGTATTAAAAAAATAAACTCTACATAAATTAAAGACCTAAATGTGAAAAGCCAGATATTTAAGAGAATATCTTTTTGACCTTAGAGCAGTGAAACGATATTATTAAACAAGATTCAAAATGTACAAACTATAAAGAAAAGAATCAACCGATTCCATTATATTCAAATGTAACTCTGTCTGTCAAACACCATAAAGTGAAAAGACAAGCCACAAAGGGTTATGTAACCCCCAAAATATAAGATGCACAAATACAAAAAGAACTCTTACAAATCATAAAAGATAATCCTTCAAAAAAATAAGTGAAGGATAGGAAGGCTTGATTTTCAGAAGAGGAAATCTGAATAGCCAATAAATAAATACACAAAAAGTTGTTCTTACTAGTAATCAGAGAAAATACACATTAAAAATACAATGAAATTCAATTTCATACCCACCAGACTGTCAAAAATTTTCAGTCTAACAATAAAAACGATATAAAGCAACAAGAACTCTTATACACTGCTAGTGAAAATGTCAACTGGTAAAACCACTTTGACAAGCAATTTGGTAATTTACAGTATATGCACTGCAGCAATTCCACTTTTAGGTATATACCCTAAGAAATATCTTGCATGTGAGCACAAAGAGGTCCAAGAGTGTTCAATGAAGCATTGTTTTCCACAGTGAAACACGTGGCACAAACTACATGTCCATCAACAGGAGAACTGTGGTGTATAGTGTGGCATACAATGATAACTACACTGCAATGGAATTAAATTAAAAATCAACAACAGAAAGAAATTTGGGAAATTCATAAATATACGGAAATTAACACGATCCTAAATAAAAGGTCAAAGAAGAGCTCACAAAGGAAATTATAAAATGCTTTGAGATGAATGAAAATGAAAACACAGCTAAAACTAGAGAAATTTTAACTATAAATGCCTATATTAGAAAAGACAGATCTTAAATCAAGGACCTAACTTCGCACCTTAAGAAACTAGAAAGAGGAAAGCAAACTAACCCCAAAGCAAGCAGGAGGGAAATAATAAAGATTAGATATAATGAAATAGAAAAATAATTATAACTAATGAAATAAAAAATTGGTTCTTTGAAAAGATCAACAAAATTGACAAAAACCAAGGAGAAACTACAGTCAGAAAAGTCCTTAATAAATTGAGATTGGTAAACATAATACAGAGGAGCTAAACTGTTAGATTAATAATCAGGTTAGTGTCACATTCCAGCAAACTCTCACCCAGTACTTAATGAGTATTAGGCACAGTCCTAGAGCATTTAATTCTCACAACTCTATGAGGTAAGTTCTACTATGACTCTCATTTATTGATGAGGAAACTGAGGAAAAGTTAAGTAATTTGTCCAGTCAAACTGCTAGTAAGTGGCAGAGTCAGGATTCGAACTCAGGATTCACGACT